CATCAATTTGACATCTTCTGAAGTAAAAAATTTGGACCTAGCCCCATTGATGACGTCACAAAGTCGATTTTTCTAGAACCCTGCACGGCAAACTTCGGTGTCACAGACGCGAACTTCAAATAGCTGCTAAAAATAGAGTTTTAGAGATAAAGACAAATTACGAGCACGGTTGTGTAGCGTTTGACCTAGAGAAAAATACAAAAATAGTTTTAGTGACCTGAGGTCAGAGGTCAGGTCAACTACCCCGAGCTGTGGTTTTAGTTTTTCGCAAATAACTTCGACAAAAATGGTCCTAGAGTTACGGCAGTGGTACCATCGCATTTGCCTTGTCAAGCCGCGTCGAATGATGTATATTTTGTTTGGAAAATGACAAGTACAAAAGCCTACGTATACACACGTAGGCTTTTGTCACAGATGTCAACAGATCAACAGATGTATTGTATTGTATTGTATTGTATTGTATTACCTTCATGGACAATCCACGCGGGGCGTGGCGTCAACAGATGATGATCACATGTTGACCTCATGTGACCTCGAATGACCTTTGGTTGACCTTGACACACCAAAAGTCGTTTATGATGGATTCCTACCCGCTGATCACGAATCTGGCATCTGTTTTCCTCTAAGCCTTTATTTAGAGCCTCCGGATGGCAAAATTGTCTTATTTATTATTACTAACTTGAATCAGTGAAATAGCCTCTAGCAAGGACTCTCCTCTGTGACCTTGACCTTTGAGCAGCCTTGTATCGTAAGATGAACCACAAATAGGGACCTGATAAGCCTCAAAACATTTCAAAACATCTTGGAAGTTGACACGCAAGATGTAGGTACGAAAAAGTGCAAAGTTTGAGGTAAATTTTGAGCATGTGAGGTAAATTTTGAGCATGACCTTGACCTTGACCTTTGATGTTGAGCACATTTTCGGAATTCTCAGATGATTCTCTTCTTTCGTTTGACACCCAATTTTGCCAGTTTTATGCATCCTGCCGTCCTCTAGAACGCTCACTTTGAGATCACTATATACACATGTGCCGGTTTTTGCCTTTGACCTTGACCTCTGACCTTGAAAATTGACCTGAGGTCAAAAATTTTGGGTGCTTTAGAATCGTCTCGTAAGGAAGTTTCGTTTGGTATCTCTTTTGTTTGCGTAGCTCCCTTATTTACGGAGTTAGACAGGGGGGGGGGGGGCGAAAAACGCCCCTCCCCGGGCTCCGGTGGTTGGAATTACCTCCCGGGCCCGGCCGGGTTAACAGAAGAGAGGATCTTTCCCCAGAACCCTGTCAGTTCCGAGAAACATCGGTGAGGCGTTTTACCTCGGCGGGGCGACTTGCCCCGGTCTACCCTACGTGTGGACAAAAGTACGTCACGGACAAAAGTACGTATAGCAAATGTACGTAGGGTATTAACCCGCGCCCCGGTGGGGTCTGTTTATAACGCGACCTGGTGGGGGGGCTATTTTTTGCCCCCCCCCCCCTCGTATCTCCGAAACTACTGGACGGATCCGCAAAATTCAAACGGCGTTCGAAAGGCCTGTCAAATTTGTCGAAGGAAACCAAATGATGACGTCACAGGTCAGGTCAAAGATGACATGTTTCACCGTTCACGGGTCTTCTAGGGAATGCGCTATAAACACCGAGGAAAACGCATTTTGTCGAGAATCAGCGACAGGGCGTCAGTTGCCTAGTAGATATGTTGCTATTAGAGGTCACTGACAATACCAGGTCAGGTCACAGGTCAGGTCACCAAGGGTCACAGGTCAGGTCAAATGAGCCCAACTTTACTAAGGTCGTGTGATGCATGTTTTATGGCCAATTTCTCATTCCCAACTCAATGATGTTGGTTATAAGACTATCAGGTACGGCTTAAGTCACTTTCTGGTAAAGTTCAGGTCAAGGTCAGGTCAAGGTCAGGCCAAAAAAGGTCAAATTTTTAAGTTGATAGTTTTGCATAAAAATGGGTATTGATTCGATGCAGCTCGTCACGGGGAGTCTAATGGTGGTCTTTGTTTTGCGCTACGGGGTCTAGAATTGCTAAAAATTGAGTTTGAAAATTTGACGTCATCAATTTTGAACAGTTTTTTCGCTATAACTTCGCCAAAAAAAGAGGTATCAATCTCAAATTTGGTATGTGGATGGAAGGCAGTAAGGACTATCACATATATTCCGGTTTTTGCGAAATTCAAAAAAAAACCTTTTGGATTTTTCGATTATTATATCCAAAAAAATTATTTTTTGATTTTTAGGGGTCAAAATCCAAAAATTTCAAAAATCCGAGATAGCGGTTTTGTAGCCCTGTTGATTCTACAGCTTTTATGTCTTTATCATTTTTCTGTATTTGCAAAGCTATAGGCCTGACAGCTCTTCCCGCGAAACCCTTTTTTGGGTCGAAAACGGCAGAACATGACGTCACTCTGACGTCATTTCCGGCCAACCTATCATAGCCTTTGGAAAATTTTTGGTCACAATGTGCAAAATTGATGTCCGGGAGGGTACTGTAAGTTTGGTGACGATCAGTGCAGCGGTTCTGGAGATATATCGAAAAGTCTGAAGGGGGGGCAAAAAATAGCCCCCCCACCAGGTCGCGGGTTAAGTACGTATCCCACCTTTGGGTTAAGTTGATCAATGAGTAATACCTTTCTTATTCTTTATTTAATGAGTATCTGTTACAAGGCATAACAAAATTTTTCGATGATTAAATGGGCGAAACGGACGAAGCTATATTATTTGGTATATGAATTTATCATGAGTTCCCTGTAGTATGGCAACAGAGCAGCAATAAAGAAAAAGTGGCTCAACTTACACTACTATACCCTACTTCTAGCTTACGTACTTTATACACTACGTACTTTGGCATACGAACCGTACGTACTTTTGGCATACGTACTTTTTACACTACGTACTTTTGCATACGAACTTTTGCGTACGAACATTTGCGTACGTACTTTTGGCATACGTACTTTATACACGACGTACTTTTGTATACGTACTTTTGCGTACGAACATTTGCGTACGTTTTTTTGGCATACGTACTTTATACACTACGTACTTTTGCATACGAACTTTTGCGTACGAACATTTGCGTACGTACTTTTGTCATACGTACATTTTACACTCCGTACTTTTGCATACGTATTTTTGCGTACGAACATTTGCGTACGTACTTTTGGCATACGTACTTTATGCGCTACGTACTTTTTTATACGTTCTTTTGCGTACGAACATTTGCGCACGTACTTTTGACATACGTACTTTATGCACTACGTACTTTTGCATACGTACTTTTGCGTACGAACATTTGCGTACGTACTTTTGGCATACGAACTTTATCGCCTACGTATATTTGCGTGCGGAACATTTGCATACGTACTTTTGTCCTACGTACTTAAGCGATACGTACTTTAGTCCTAAAATCCCGAAAACCAGTTCTGGGCGGCCAACAGCAGCTCAGAGGCGCTGCACCGTCGAGACGGTGAAGCATCCACTGGGGATTCTCGTTAGGGCCATGATGGGCTACAGAGGCCTCTGAGCTTCACCATGTGCCGCAGGGACAGACGACGTGGCCGCTGATAACTTGCCAGCGAGGTGCTGGAGAACACTGACGCAACTACGATGCAATCAATTTCAGGATACAACTTACAAGTACAACATCCCGCAACAATTCGTGATACCCTGTACTCGTGACCGTGGAATGTGTTTGGGCTCAGGCACAGTGGAATGTATATGGTCAACTCCTGTAGTCAACAAAAACGGTGGAATATATAATGGAAACTCAGGCATTTTGTAAAAGGCCTAGGCAGTTTGCAAAATGCCTGGAGGATCAGGTAGTTCGCAAGCTGCCTAGGCAATTTGCAAAAGGACTGATGGGTCAGGCATTTACCTGTAATATATAGATTTACTGGCTTTTATTATGCCTCTTATTGAGGTATTTGGTGCGATGTACTTTACTTATTTTATTTGTCTGCAATTTTACTGTAGATTTTTTAACGTGTGGGTATTATTTTCATTGTACTCAGTTTTGTATTTTATGTTACGCTTTTTTGTGATTTACTGATTTTAGGCCTATGACTTCGCCTTGAAGTGGATATTGCTCTGTTGGCAATCATGCAAATAAATAAATAAATAAATAAATAAATAAATAAAGATATAGACTATTTTCCATCAATTTTGAACATTGTGTGCGAGTGTGAACCTCCTACCTTTCAAGGTCAAGTCACCAGGTCACTTCGAATGACCCGACCTCAAATCACTTCTTTGCAACTTCGTCACCGTGTCAGAGATACAGTAGATGACGGAGTCCTTTGAAAGTTGCAGGATGTAATTAAGTCATCCGGGTAGCTACAATTACTTTATTTCGGAATTTTGATATTGATGACTTAAGGTCAGGTTAATTTGTTCACCTCTCCATTATAAGTTAATGGGGGAAAATCAACTCCCTTATTTTTTCACTAAATGACGCGTCGGAATGGCCTGATATACCATGAGCGACTTTTCTTAATGTGTACAGCTCGTCAAGCCGCATCGAATGATATACATGATGACTTTGAGGTCACGTAACCTGAGGTCAACCTTTGACCTTGACCTTTCAACGTCAAAATTTATATGTTTCGATGCGGATCGGCGAAAAGATCAAGATTGTGCTCTTAGTTTGTTCCCAGCCTAGCTACTTCGAAAGTTATTCGAAAAGAACTTCATATCTAGCGCCGCTATTTTGACCCCTGTGACGTCATCTTTGACCTGACCTGGAAATTACCTCGGTAAAATTTGTAGACTTTGTCCGTATTTACCCCATGCCGTTTATCGCTTGTCGCGATCTTGCTTCGTTCTCGATATCTCGAGGAGGGCGGATATCCGCCCCCCACCCCGTCGATTGTAAGTTGGCGCAGACCCCCGTCGGTGCCCGGGTTAAGGGTCAAAACATACCTCTGCTACCAGATACAGACCTTGACCTAAGTAATTAATGATTCATGCAAAATAATCGGTCAGGTATATCAGACATAGGTATGTACTAAGTATATATGTATTACAAACAAGGCGAAAATCAATAGGAGTAAAATGAAGCAACGTCCTTAGTCAAACGGTTCAATCGAGTCCCTGTTTAACGACCTGCTTCTAATGTCACACATTAAGTTCTCGTGACATTGCACGAGCAATATTAATAATATAGTTTACACTGCATATACACAAAAAACATTCGTTGAAAGGAGACCTGATGTGTTTAGCTAGTCTTTGATATTCCACGTCAGATGACATGTTACGCGTCATCGGGTGGGCCAGACGTCACTCGCTGACGCCTTCCTGAGCCAGTTTGTGACACCAGGTCATGTAGTTGACCGGTCTCATCTTGAGCTCAACGTGCTTCAACGAATACCTATCGCCCTTCCACTGTTTCCAGGTCACTCCTGCCCAGCTGCTTTTCAGAGCACCTTTCTTGTACGGTCCCGTGAGTGTCGAGTGCAGGCAGGACTTGTTCCACCACGCGTGCTGGTAGTGTTGGGCGCAGTTCTTACTCCACTTGTCGTTATCGCGGTCTTTGGTAGTAAACGCCATGGTGTTGTAATAAGTCAGGGCGTCGCCGGCGTTCCCCTCGTACTTGCCGACCTTCAGTGCATACTTTTGCTGCTCGGAGCCGATGGAAAACGGCGTGTAACTGGCGGTGGCAGAGGCGTTCCCCCAGTCCTTCAGATCCACACGGAGCTGCATCTGCTCCATGCTGGTCAGCAGGCTCATGTACTCGTTGCCCAGCCAGAACTCGGCGCTGAGGTTGCCGAAGCCCCACTTGTAGCTGTCCCAGCCGAGGTCGAAGTCCTGGTGGCCGGGGAGGTCGGCGCGCCTCAGCAGCACGGTCCAGCCGCCGCCGTCCGTGTCCATGTCGCAGTAGACGCGGATGCCGCCGCCGTTGCCGCAGACAGGCGGGTAGATGGTGTAGACGCCGCTGCGCTGGTGGCGCTGCTGGACGGCCGCGCAGTCGGCCGGCCGCCACTCGTCCGTCCGCTGGAACTGGTCCGGGAAGCTGCACCGCTCCACGATCACGGTCGTGGTGGCCGGGGAGGCGGCGGGCCGACCCTCCTCCAGCAGCGTCACCAGCCGCTGCTGCGTGTCGTTGAGCTGCGCCTGCAGCAGTTGCTCCGACTGACGGATCTGCTGGCTGAGGGTGCTGACCAGCTGCGGGTCGGCGGGCGCCACCCGGGCCTCCTGCAGCACCCCGCGCAGCTCGGCGGCGGCCTCGGTCAGCCGGCCGCTACCCAGCTCCCTGTACAGCTGCAGCACGCTGTTATCCAGCTGTGCCAGCTGCGTGTCCACCGTGTGCGTCAGCGACTCCAGACGGGCGGCCAGCTGGATCAGACGCTCGTCCATCCTCTGTAGCCGGTCCGACAGAGCGGCGGACGACTCCGGGACCGCGCCGAGGCCGCTCTCCAGCGGGATGTCGTGCGCCCCGACCCGCTCAGCAGCCAAACCCTCGACCAGCAGGAGCCACACCAGCAGCCACATCTTGAGCAGCCACCTCGTCCCGCTGCACCGCAAAGGCTGAGCCTACCGCTACTTCTGCGGCTGCATCAGTGCACTTGGCTTTTATACCAGCAGACTGTCCGTTACTGGAACTCTCGCGGGGTTCCCAGACTCCAACTGCGATCATATTCGTAGTACCGTAGTCCCGACCGGACTTCGCGCCTCTGCTGATAAACATTCGACCCCGGAGCGAGCGCAGAACTGTCGAATCTCAACACGCGGTCCGTGTGCCGCACCGCTGTGAGTTTGAAGTCCAGATGCCATTGAAGTACGTCACGGCCATTCATGCTCGTAAAGGGAGGCCGGCCGCTGGTATTTCCAGTGGTTGTCAGTGACGCTGGGAACATGAGACGCTGCGGAGCCCAGTCAGTCTGAAATCCCCGCGGCCATCGTCGGGCAAACGCTGAAAACGTCACGGGCATTCAGTTTAATTCCCGGACACTGCCGACTGCGCGCTGGCGACTGCCGACTGCCGACTGCGTGGTCAATTTATTCCAGAAATGGACCCTCTGCGTCTTCAATTTAAATGCCTCCAATGTTTAATAAATAATACTATGCCTATTTTATTTTGTCTCTCCATTCTCCAAGATACCTTGCGAGCTGGGTACCCGGTGGATGTACCTACAGGGTGTCCGGAAAATCCTGGCGCTTTCCAACATTTCTGAAAGCAAATGCCTCTGGTTGATAGATACTCAACAAAAGATAAAAACAATTATCAGGTACACCAAGCTAACTACATACTTCCAAGGGCGGATCCAGGGGGGCCAACGGGGCCATGCCCCCCACCCCCCAAGACGGGGTGGGCATGTTTTGGCCCCTCCCCCCAAGACATAAGTCAAGAAAAATATAAAAATAAATATTCTCAAACTTCATATGCTGAAAAACTGAAATATTGCTTTGATGATGCAATGACCTAAGGGAAAGCGTGAAAAAATCTACCAACCAGAGTTTGGCAGCCTGATCCGCGCGCGCGCAATGAAGCGTTTCATTCGAAACAAAATACGAATCATGGGCAGACCATGGCATGATTAGATGTATCCAATGCATAAGATAACGTCATTAGCTCATGACGCCTGAGCAGCCATAGCTGTGGAATAGGAGGGATGTCATTGGTCAAAACACTCTTGTATCGATTTTCGAAAGTTGCGCTCACAATTGGTAGAAAAATGAACTACGTCATTGGTTTATGTTAACCCTCGCCGGCGCAGGGTTGATGCAGCCCCCCCCCCCCCGCCCCCTCTACGGTCTTTTTTCGCAAATAACTCGCGTATAAAGCGGCCGATCGCGACGAACCTTTCAGTGCCCTCGGGATAATCAATGTTAAGGAAAACAGTATTTTCAACGATTGCCATGGCCAAATGTGTGATTCTTGTCAGAAAACTGAGGAATGATCATAGCAACACTGAGATAATCAACTTCAGCTTGAGAGATTTCAGAAGCTTCTTAATAGCTGAAGCTTCTTCATTAACCCTCGCCCGCACATGCCATTTTCCCATTCTAGAACGCACATGGGGGGGGGGGTTGCCACCCTCCCCCACCCCCACCGCGCCATTTCTTTCCTGTAGGAGATAGAGCTTCGCGGTAAAGACCAAACAGATTCCTTAGGAGGAGACAAATCCAATGACACCCAGTTTTACCTTCTCAGGTCAGTCATTGACCTTCCAGGTCATGTCAAACTAAAAAATGTTGCTGTTTTGGGTCACCGTTGGATGTCAAGTGCGCTGCTCATCATATACCGATGACGATACCGTGTTGTGGTGTCAAGCCAGCTAGAACCTCTTTGTCGCACTATCTGACCAGGTTTTTGCTGCTGAGGTCATGTCAGGTCACGTAAGGTCAAGGTAAATGATACGTGTTTGTATGTCTGTGTGTCTGTGTGTATACTGATGTGTGCACCGATTGTTATGTGTCCGTATTACATGAGATCATGAAATGAGAAGCTTTTACCAAAAATACAGTCAAAGAAACTTCACGAAAAGTAAATTCAGCTTGCCTAAAACGCAATGATTTTAGATGACCAAGGTTGACCTTGACCCTGACCTTGACATATGTACATCGTCGAACAACATGTTCCATGATAGGTGGGAGGTAAAACTGGCAAAAAAGGCCGAAAGCAAGGTGTCAAAAGCTCACAAGACCGATAGCCAACGCAAGATATTAGGTATTTGTCATTTGGGTCATGACATGATCTGAAGAACAAGGTCATATCTCCAAAACCAAAAGCAACAGAAACTTGAAATTTTCAGTGGACATAAAAAAAGGATAGAAGAGTAGCTATACGAAAAATCAGACTTCTAGCTCGAAAAATGTTGAGTGCAAAGCAGAAAAACTACCTGGGGGGGGTGGCAACCCCCCCCCCTTATGCGGGCGAGGGTTAACACTATTAACCAGGGGGGAATTTCAAGTTCAGGAGTGTTCTTGTTTCATGTCTGAATGTATATGGATTTCACCCTGGCCCGTATTGGCGTTTTGCCAGCCGCGAACGTTAAGGGGAAGGGATTCGTTGGACCCCGCCCCTCGCCGTTTGGCTGCTGATCGAGCTAGAGCTTCGCGGAAAAAACGAGCGTGCTGCCCATGACGAGAGGAATACGATGATACCCAGTTTAAGGTGCTAGGTCATTAGTTGACCTAGAAGCTTAAATTGACCTGTTAGATTGACCTGTCAGGTCAATGACCCCAAAATCCGGACAATTGGGACCTGTTAGAGCGTCGTAAGTGTGGCTGAGCTTTTCCGGGGTGCTAATCACGAATATCGTGTTAGTTTTGATCCCAGAAGATGTCTTCATGCATTAAGGTCAAATCGGGTCGGGTCAACCAGTAGTGGTCCTGCCGGGTATTCGCAGTACGTGTCAACCGCCTCTGACAGCTCCGTAACATGTTACGAAGGCAGCAAAAGCACTTCGTAAATGTTCAAAAGGCTGCTAATTTCTATTTCAGCTCCAAAAACTAGCCTAGAAACTTGTAAAACTCGAAAAAGTGGTCTGAGGTCATCAAAAAACAATGCCTGACCTGACCTTCAGGTGACCTTGACAACCATCCAAATGCATGGGACCAACATCATATCACATGTTTCGGCGCTTGAAACCACGAAAAGACAGCAAACTCGCGGCTAATGCGTGCCAACATACGCCGAATCGCGATTCCGGCCAAACATGGTCTCGAGAAATAGGTTACAGGTCAAAGGTCACTTGGGTCAGGGTAATTAAATTTTTACGGTAGATGTAAAATGGACTACCTCGTGGGCACTTAAAGTTTCGTCGCAATTAACCACTTTTTATGCGTTAATCGCGAAAAACCGAGGGGTCTGTTCGACCCTTCCTCCCTACACGGGCGAGGGAAGACACAACAGACACACAGAGGAAGACACAATTTCGCCTTACCTGTGCCTGTTTTTGAAGTGTGTTTCAAGCGTCATTTTGAGAAGGTGCTTGGATTGGCTGGTTAGGGCTGGTTAGTGTGTTCGCTAGCAGTGTGCCGTCAACAAATGCGATGCAGAGTGTTCACCATTTTCGCGACTTTCTCACCAAATGTCTCTGTGCGTGTCAACTTCTGTCGCCTACAATGTAAGCGAGTAGGAAGTTTTTTTTTTACCTCTGAGTGATACTTCGAGGATACTGCGCTGTTACACATCCCACGTTCTCGTAGATAAATGCGTGTCCTTTCATTACCCTTGAAAAAGTTATAATAAACGAAACGTTGGGTAATTTTTGTTGCAATGTCTTGCATCTTTATCTGAAGAGGTTCACGGACTGCTGCAAATCCCAGCTGTTGGCCCAGTTAGAGATGGGCATATCGACTAGAGCGGAATATTTTTCAGTACGCAAGATCGTACTCGCGCGCTTGATAGTTCTACTTCTCAACAAAAGAAGACCCACCGAGGCTTCTCGTATTCTCTCGCGGTCTCGGCTTCAACGTGACCAACATAAAAATGAAACCACGGACGAAATCCTGAAGTCAGTGGGAAAGTTGGAGCGTCAGCCACATGGCAAGCTGGACATCATGATGACGAAGGGGAAGCGATGCAACAAAGTACCATGTTAAGCGTCATTCAGCTTCTCGTGGACAACCGTGATAGGCTAGTTCCGCGAGACAAGTCCCTTCTTCCAGCATTGAGCAGAGCTGGCCATCTTGGTGGAGGCGTGGCTCTAAAGGCTGTGGCAGCTGACTGTGGCCTAAACATTGCGTGTTCACGGCAATAAGACTTCGTAAATACTGCGGTGCCCCTTCGCAGCTTCCGGCGATCACCGAGTAGAGGTGTTGACTAGACACATGGGTCATGACAGGGGGCGTCGAAGTCTAGTAGAAAAATCAGGCTATCCCCGGCGTGACGTAACGTCGGGGATGACCGACGACACCTTGCACTGAAAGATACGGCAGAAAGGCTATTTTTGAAAAATGATTAAAAATACTGATGTGCTACATGACACATAAAACGCCTATCAGCATGCTCCTCGTCATGTGATAAAGTCATATCCTGGTGGTCGAACATAGCCGGGCCCCTCCCAATTTCCAACCATCGACCTTATAAGCAAAGGATGTTAGCGTAATCCTCAAGGGCCACTTTCTGTTACATATCCGTACATATGCGTCCTTATGGAAATCGGTAGTGTGGCGATTGGCGACGCGCGCGACATCTGTGCTGCGACTGTGGCGACACCTGGTGGCTGCTTTTCTGCTGTATGAAGGGATTGGGGTTTTACCAGATATGGTTCCTACTGCTACACCACTATGTTGTAGAGATGTCAATCGGATACCAACTTTTTGGTATACCGATACCAACTTGGTATTTGGTATTTCAATCGTAATGTGTTTGGTATTTTGTTGGTATCATAAACCCTCACTAATGTAAAAGAGACTAAGAAATCGGTAAAAAGTTGGTATTTCCCTCATTTTCCCACGTTGGTTTGGTTTCGGTATTTTCCCGTGGCTTTGATTGGTATTTGGTTTGGTATCGGTATTCCGATTTTCCGTAATTGACATCACTACTATGTTGACCCAATACTAGAAAGTTATTTTGCCAGTAAAAGGCAAGCATTTTGAAAGTTAATTTATAAAATTGCTTATAAATGATTTAGGAGATAATAATAAAGAAATTTTGATAAAATAATTATTTAAAATAGCAACCGTGAAACTATATTCTGGTATGTTTAGTAGAAATTAGTCCGTGCAACCTTGTATTTAGGGCATTGGCTCATGATACCCGAGTCCATCGAGA